GATGAGAGAGCAGAACTGACCCATACTTGTTTTTGAAGGTGTGGTTGGAGGTGAGAAGATTCACACTGTGCTAAAGGAGTTTGGAAGCATTCCTCTCAGTAAAGCCCCAGAGCTCTACAGCTGACTATGAGAAATAACTTTGTGGGATATTTAAAAAGAACAGCATTGAATCTGAAAGTTCAAATGAAGTTTAACATCCATGGAAGCTGTCATCCCACCTCATATTTCTCCCCTTTCAAGACAGTTGATTTCCCTCCCTCAGAGGAAGAGTGAGGGATAATTAGCCTGCCGCTGTAAAAGGAGATAGTGATGCTAGCAGGTGCTGAGTCTCCCATTCAATGGATCAGCCTTTGTGTCCCATTAGGATGCAAGCATGTCTCTTAGAGACCAACTCCTGCATTCCGAAATGTTAAGCTCCTTGTCGCTCTGCGCAGGATGCTTGACTTTCAGAAGATAACCCACCCAGATCCTTTTGTCTTGATGGGCATGATCATAGGTTCTTTCCCATATCCTAATTCTCTGGTGACCCGCTGGGACGCTAACCACAGGGCAGCAGTTCCAAACCACTCCTCAGGAGGCAGCCGCTCCTCAGGAGAAAGATGAGGCTTGCTAGCTCATGAAGAGTTACAGTCGCAGAAACCCAGGGGGGCAGTGCTACCCTGTCCCAGTTGGTTGCTAGTAGTCGGAATCTACTCGATGCCAGTGAATTTGAGGTTTTTGAATTGTCATCCCCACCAACCCCACTAACCCCACACGCACCACACCCCCACCCCAACATGCCCACAAACACGGATACACAAATGTTTGTCCTCAGCTGTGTGGATGCCTGTGTGTTTACATGCACTCAGGCAACGCCCGCTAATGCATGGGCTGACTTAGGGAAGTCCTCTTTGCCTGGGTTTCTGCTCCCTCTCCTTCCTGCTGTTTTTGGACAGCGAATTTACCTGGGGCATCTTCACCACTGATGGCCTCGTCTCGACCTTAGACCTTGCTGGTGGCGGACGTAACCTTTCCTCCTTCCTACACGCACTAGTTCATAGCTCTGACGATGAACGTATCACAAGTTTCACCCCGGTTCCTCTTCAGATATGCCTATCTCCTCCCTGAACACTCCCGCACACCAAGGATTCCCCACCGTTTCAGCTTCCAGAGCAGCGGCCCAGACCTGCGGGCTCTTCCTGCAGGGCATTCCCACCCCCCCTCTCTGGGGGCGATTACCCTCTCTTCTTGCTGACTCCCCCACTGCCTCTTTCTTGCGTGACACCCTCCTTTCGGTGGCACACCTCCGCCAGTGGTTTCATGAGAAGCGGCTACTGGGACAGTGTACGGCTGTTTTGTTTCTCTTTGAGCATGGCCATCGAGTTGATTCCAACTGCGCAGAGACCTGATAGGATCGCGTGGCACCGCCCCACGTGGGTTTCTGAGACACCGCAACTCTGCCGGCTGTAGAAAGCCTCCTCTTCCTCCCGGGGAGTGGCTGGCTGGGGGTCTCTCCAGCAGCCCACGTGGCTCTGGACAGAGCAGATGTGTTTAAGCAGGGAGGGAGTCAAACCCAGGGAGAGCAGTCCCCCTTCACGACAGTGAGCTGCCCCCAGCAGCAGTGCCAGGAGCCCTGCTCCCCAGTGAAACCCGCTGTGCCCAAAGGTTCTTACAGATTCTCAGGGTGGCAAGCAGTGAATAGTTACACAGACTTCCGTTCCTTCGCCTGCATGCAAATCTGCCTGTAAATGGGGCGAACTGAACTCTGGCTCCTCGAATTCCTGGCATCTTTGGAGGGGCTGGGTGTGGGAAGCCCAGAAAGGCCTTCCCGTGGGTGGGAGTGTGTTCCGAAGGCCAGGACACTGCATTGAGACCATCTGTCGTTTTTTTTGCGGTAAGCCTGCCAAGCCATCACCCTACTACAAATAATGTTTAGGTTTCTTAACAGGCAGGCCGTTTTCATGCAGGTTCATTGTGTTTTGTTTTTAACCTCCTGTAAGGTTGTGCTAAGGAGTTGAAGGAAAGGGGCCCTCTTTCTGTAGACCTGATTATCCAAAAAAAGGGGGTCGTGTAAATAATAAGGAGCCCTAGTGGCGCCGCGGCATAAGCCAGGGACTGCTAACCACCAGGTTAGCGTTTCAAACCCACCAGCCTCGCTGCCGGACACACGAGGCTTCCCCCTCCCATAGTTATGGTCTAGAGTGTCAATATCCCAGGAAATGACCCAGAAACCTCAAATGATTTCTCTGATAGGTGGTTGCACTTCTAAAGAGCATTTACCTAGTGCACGAGGAACCAGGTTGTGGAACAAGGAAAGTTGAAAGACCACAGAGGTTAGGGCAATAGCCCTATCACTAAGGTGCTCCTACTTAGGGGGAGGGGACAGACATGCCCCAATCAAATTTTAGAGGGCTTTCAGAAGTGCAAAAATTTAGAAATGAATAAAAGTGTCCCGAGTGCTCAGAGCCTGAGTTCGATTGGCAGGGTGTGTGGGGGGGAGGGCGGGGGGTAGCAGGGTGTCACTTGTCCTGACCTGATTCAGTACAGGTTGTCCTGAGTAGCTGTCCTTCAAAGCCAAGATCAGCACCAAGCTAGCACCAGCATCCCTGGGAGCTTGCACCTGGCCCACACTGTGCTAGCGCTCATTATTCCTGGGGTTTCATTTGCATGCCCTTTCCTCCCAGGGCAAAGGCAGATTACTAACATATGCGTGCATTCACCCGCTCTGGCCTGTACACGCTTTCCTTTTTTTGGGGAGGGGGTGTAAGGGGGCACTTGTCTCTTTTTTCCCCTGTGTTTTGTCTTTGTTTAAGCACAACGGTCTTAAACAGAAAAGGATTGAGAAGGAGCTAACACAATCGGGCGCCTGCGAGTTGTGCCTTCACGTGTCATCTTGTCCCGCTCACGAACACACCACACACACGCCTCTTTGCACTGGCCCTCCACTGCCCTCGGGATTTTATTCGGGTTGGTTGCCTCTCTGTGGCACGGTGGCAGGGAAGGTCGCACTGACAGGACGTGGTGGAGACCCAGCCAGGATGATTTGACACCATCCCTCCAGCCCCCACCCTGAGCCCCTTCTGGGTCCCTCTCCTCTCCCCCAGTGAGTAACTCGTCTCGGTCACTGGATGTCTCCGTTGAATACTTTTTATTAAAATCGCTTTATTTCTACCCCATTCTTACTAGGAGAAGGAGCCTGGTGACGTAGTCGTTATGTGTTGAGTGGTGATCTGTAAGGGCCGCAGTTTGAAACCACCAGCTGCTCCACAAGACAAAGACAGGGCTTTCTACTCCCACACAGAGAGAGGATTAGAAACTCACAGGGGCAGTTCTACCCTGTCGCACAGGGTTCCCGTGAACCGCCATGGAATCGGTGGCGGTGACTGTGGCTGCTTTCATGCCTGGGAGAAGGAGCCCTGCTGTCGCGCTCAGCTGAGCCCTGGCCACTGCAGATGACGATGTGGCGTGAACTTCTGTGGTTTGTAGCCGTGGAGACCTTCGGGATCATCTACTCTGCTGTCGGGTCGCGATGAGTGGGCCTTGAACTGGCCAGCAGTGGGTTTGATGTCCTCGGGAGGGCCGTCTAGATGACCTCTCCTCAGAGGC